TTGCAAAACAAAACACAACTAACAGAAGGAGAACATTCTCTTCTAGAGGATGGCAGAGCTCAGCACATCACTGAAAAAGACCAGGCTGGAACATTTGTAAGCATTTTCAGCCACAAGTTCCAAGGCAATGATCCATCTCATCTCATCATGGAAGCTAATATTCAACAAATTTGATTCACTCTGTGCGTCAAGGAGCTACAGATGCAGCAAAGACTACTGGCCCAGACAACATCTCAGGTGCAGTGGAGACTTGAGCTCCAGAATTAGTTTCACTCTTGGTCAACCAGTTCCAGTACTTGCATTTACCTGACTGTGGAAAATTGCCCAGTTATGTCCGGTCCACAAAGCACAGGACAAATTCAATCTGGCCAATTATCACCTTTTCGTTCAGCATTGTGATAATCGGTGCTGTGAACAATGCTAACAAGTGGCACTCACCCAGTAATAACTATACACTGATGCTCAATTCGAATTTCATCAGGACTACTCAACTCCAGATCTCATTACAAACATCTCCAAAACAGGGCAAAAGATCAGAGATCAGCTGAGAGGTGTCTGCCCTAAATGACAAGTCTATGGAAATCAGGGAAAATTCTCCATCACTTGAAATCCTACTTAGCACAAAAGAAGGTGGTTGTCATTGTTGAAGCCAATCATTTTAGTTTTAGGAAGCATTCCGACACAAATTCTTCAGGGTAGTCTCCTGGGCCCAATTCCTTCAAATCATCAGTGACCTTCCCTCTATCCTAAGGTCAGAAGTGAGAGTGCTTTCTGATTGCTAAACAATATTTACTTTCTCCAACAATGGAAGAATCTGTGCCCTCATGCAACAAGACATGGAAAACATTTGAGGCTGGGCTGATAAGTGCCAAGTAACATTTACTCCAGGCAATGGCCATCTCCAACAAAATTTAAAAAGATATAAATAAAACAATCCATCACTAAATCCCCCATTATCAATGTCCTGGGGTTTACCATTGACTAAACTGGAATGACCACATAAATACTGTAGCTACAAAAGCTTGTCAGGGACTAGCAATTCTGTGTTGTGTGGCTCGCTACCTGTCTTTCTAAAGCTGGTCCGTCATCTACAAGGCAAAAGTCAGGTGTGTGATGGAATATTGCCCATTTGCTTGGATGAGTGCAGCTCTAAAAACATTCAAACAGCACAACACAATCCAGGGCTAAGCCGTTATCTTAATAGACATTCCATCCAGCTTCAACAGTCATTCCCTTTACCACTGACACACTGTCACAGCAATGTATACCATCTACAAGAGGCACCACAGTTACTGACCAAGGTTCCTCTGACAGTACCTTCCAACCCGTGATCTCTGTGACCTAAAAAGGACAAGGGCAGCATGGGAACACCATCACATGCACTTTTCCCTCCAAGCACCCCATACCATGACCTGCAAGTATATCCCTGTTCCTTTACTGACGCTGGGTCAACATCCTGGAACTCCCTCCCTAACATTACAATGAATGTCCATCCATGCCAAGAATTACAGCATTTCAAAAGTCTTCTTCAGGGCAACAAGGGATGGACAATAAATGCTGGCACAGCTTGTGGCATCCACATCCTATGAACTAAAAAAACAAAAACATGTCCTCTTGACATTCAAAGGATTTTGAGCCAGCAACAGTGAATGAATAGTGATATAGTTCCAAGTCAGGACTGCGCCTGGTCTTGGGACAGCAGAGTGGGTGGGGGAGAAGAGAAACATTTGCAGTTTCGGGCATTCTCAAGAGCATGGCATTTGTCCTTCTTTTTCCTATTTGCCTGGCTAAGTAGAGATCGACACCACCCAGGGCACATCCCACCTGAACTGTGCGCAGTGGCTGAAGTGTGTACTATATAGAGGTGCACTGCAGGAAGTCAATAAGGCTCCTTCAACAGCACCACAATCTCAAACATCAAGAAGAACCTTTTGTTAATGCATGTGCTTAGGATCTGGAATGTACTGCTTGAGAGTGTGTGCTGGAGGTGGATTTAATCATGGCTTTCTGAAGGAAATTGGATAATTAACTAAACTGAAAAATTTGCAGGATAATGAAGAAAGGGCATGGAGTGGAACTAACCGAGTTGATCTTGCAGAAAGCCAGCACGGATACAATGCCCTGAATAGCCTCCTTCTGTGCTACAACTATTCTAAGATTTTTATGACTTAATGCCATACAATCTTGTGAATTGAAAGAGCTATACAAAAAAAACTCACAACAGTAAATCGAGAGCACATTTTCTTCCTGTCACACTTCAAGATCTAGTATTACACTTTGAAGAAAATACTGATCAAACTCTCCAACATGAAATACCGGTGCCAGGATGGTGGCAGCCTTTTGACTGACATGCATATGTCCTTAACCAGTATAGCTAGCACAAGCCTTTTATTGACCTAAAGGAGTACACAGCTACATTTTACTTGCTATCAAATGTTCTTGTCGTTCTAAGCTGCACTTCTGAGTTACTGGAAACAGCACTACAGGGAATGTCATGATATCTGTTAAAATAAAATAGTTCCCATAGAAAAATTCTGTTATCACATTCAAGTTTACAGATTCTTAAAAATGATTTAAGTTGTACAGCTAAGTTTTTCAGGTGCCTGAAACAGACAAGAACAGCCTGAACAGATCCTTTCTGATCAACAGATGGATGCTACCCTTCTACCTTTAAAAATTTACAGCATATAATGTAGCCATTGATACGAAGCAGGTCTCTAACCAGCTGTTTGTTGAAGTATCCAAGACTAATTTCCATTTGCCGGTTCTCCCAAAGTCTGTATAAGAATAAATGATGCACAAGCATTAAAATGGATAGATTTAAATTTTCTTCAGACTTAGAACAGCGGGGATTGCAGACATAATATTTTAATTCCAGCCAAAAACAAACTTGGATGGGATCCATTTTAAAATGTGAGCAAATCCAATAAATAAGCTATGTATATATTACAGAATGATAAAGCCAGCCAGTAACTTCAGAAGGTCAGCGAGGAAAGCAGTCCTAAACAGACACTGCCAACCCAGCATTATCCTACAGTGACCAAGGCAAGTCAAAACATTAGACACCACAGATTTATGGAGCTAATGAAGAATGGATGTGGTCTTCTTTCATTGGTCACATGAAAATCTCATTAAACACTGGTACATCATCCTCCAAGGGGCCTGTTTTTATATTTGATTAAAATTTTCCAACTGTTTGGCACAATGTTTAATTCCTGGGGTGGTAATATGGATGTTGACACTGCAAATTGCAAGCATGTGACTGAACAGAAGCTTCAAAGTTTGAGAACCCTTTAGGCATCTGTGTATCAGATGTGTTTGGAAGCATTCAAGTAATTCCCTCCTCTACAGCCATATTGAAATCCTATAAATAGTTTGTACTCAGCCACAAATAACCTGAGGCCGTGATATAACACCACATCAGCATTACAGTCATGTTGGTGAAAAATCAACAACATGAATTTTGTGCACACTTAACACAAACTTCATTTCAATACCAGCTTTACTTTGAGCTGTACATGAAATGTGTAACCTGCTGGTAATTTGTTGGAGTACAGTCCACAATACACACACTAGTTGGCATCAGATGGACAGACTAATTGGCATCAGATGGGTTCACTAGGTTTTGAAGTATTATTGATCCTTAAATTACTGCGGTCAGCAATATTAAAAAATCTCAATGTCATGTACTGGAAATACTGCTCAGATAAACATTGAAACTTATTACAGTATTTCATAGCACACCATGAACTAGCCATGAATTTTTAAAGCACTACTCTTGATCAGCAAGCTTTCTGAATAAATGCATGCAAGTGTGATAAGAAAATGCACCAAAAGCAGAGAGCTGAATCTTGTAATGGACTCTAATAGCAATTGAACCCAGTTATAAATAATCCAGATCACGTAGAACTGTTTATCCTTGCCTCCTATTTTAAATTAGCAACACTACCAGCTGATAACTGTGGTAGAAATTGCTTTGCACATCACATTCATCACCAGAATGGAATAGAATTACTACAGTGTAGTTCAATCTCAGAAAGCTTGATGAAAATCATCTAAAGCTTTCTAAATTCTATACTTTTTCGAAAAGGATTGTAAACATCTACTCAGCGTTGATCCAGGAAAATGTTATCATGTCCTCTTAACAAATAATTTCCAAACAATTCAACAGAATAAACACCACATTCCAAACCCGAACACTTGCCAAATCATATTTAGAAATGGTTCCTCATGTGCTCCCAAGCATGACTCAAATTTACCAATGGGAACTTTCAGTACAGATCTGGTTGTTGTTTCTAATGATTTTATGATGAAAGCATTATAAATGGTGACCGAATCTTTCAGCAACAGTACTTCCTGTCTTGTTGTTCAATATTCTTATTGAACCTAGGGGGAGGGGAAAGAGCGAGAGAGAGAGCGGAGATAGTTAAAAAGGTAGAGAGAAAGAAGAGAAAGGCAATAGAAAGGAGACAGAGAAGGAGAGAGAAAGAGAAAGGAGGATGGGGGGGGGGGAGAGAGAGAGAGAGAGAGAGAGAGAGGGAGAGGGAGAGAGTGTGAGTGAGAGTGAGAGTGCTGGGGGAAGAACGAGAGAGAAAGAGAGTGGGGGGGAAAAGAGAAGAGAGCAGGGAGAGACAGTGTGTATATGTGACCAAGGGACACAGTCATAGCTAAACACTTGATACACAACCTAATTTCCAACAAGGATCATCTTTTAACATTTGACATCAGGTAACAACACAGATCAGCGGTCAGACCTGGTGTCTTTGCAGAACAGATATTCACTATATAATGCATTTACCCTAGTAAACTGCCAGAGCAATTTTTCCATCCTATAAATCAACAATTGGTTGTAATTTAAAACTTTACAATCTTTCTAAAGGTCGTTGTCACCTTGGTCATTTTAACTCTATGGAATGATTTCGACTGTTGTTTTAAAGTGAAGTCTAGAGGTTACAACAATTACAATGTAAATCCATGCAGAAATTTTATTAGTCAATTACCTTTAGGTGGAAAATAGGATTTGCTTTCAGCTTTGTGAGGCCAGTCTACCACCAGAGGTCCAAATCGACGAAAACTAGCTGTGATTTCATCTACAGGAGATATCATACCAGTGATTTATTAAAAGTTAAAACGGGCAAAAAAAAATACTACCACAGAATACTGTATAGAGAGCAGTGTTAATAGTCATGAAGGAATCCGAGCATTATGACAGATCTCTTAGAAGTTTCACACGCATACCTTCATCAATGTCTGGAGGTAGGCCACCCACAAAGACTTTTCGTGAATAACGTTCCACTCGTTCACCATTCTGACAGCGAGTTGGAGAGTTTAAACCTGATGTCAGAGACTGGTCACCATGACCATCATCAAGGAAACCGTCTTCAATAGGAAATAGTGAAGAACGACCTGGAAAACAGTTCACACCTCCATCAAGTAAAAAGGAACCTGAAGATTATTCTGATACTTCAAAATTTCCCTCACAGGCCAAAACTCTGCACTGCTGCCAATGCAACTCAGCATAAAGATGTAACTGTTAGAATATATTCATTGTTAAGCACTTGATATCTTTCGTTTTAGAAAACTCAAATGATTGATTGTGTTAAAAAAGATCATTCCATTTTGATTCTTTAATATTTGAAAATTAATATGAGCAATGCAATTGTCAAGAACAGCAAGACCAGGCATGGGCCATCTAATAAGGAAGCAAAATGTCAATAAAGATGAATGTAAGCTTTTAAGTAAAGTGTATAAAACCATACATAAATATCTGCATTATGGTAAAGTAGAAAAGATTTATGGGAAAATTCGGAATTCAGTCTGGTTAAAATCAAAAAAGGATTGACTGAATTTCAGTCATTTTACAATCAATACTGCAGACAGCTCAGTGACATTAAAGAACTGGTGCCTCAAGGGGAAAAAAATGCACATTACACAATATTTCTCAAGGCCTACAAATTCATGGGACATCAACAGAGTGTTTTAAAAAAAGAGGCAAGTACATAAAGATGGTCATCGCATGTGCGCTAATCTCACATTTAAACTAAACATTATGAAGTACAACCAATATAAACAGTTCGAAGATAGCTACGAAATAAAAGCTATACTGTCTGGTGTTAAACAAACCACTTCAGTAGTCCCATTAACCCCTGAAGACACAGCTATGAACTATTGTTAATTCCACTTTCTTTTATTTCCAGTAACTATATGCAACTTGAGCAAATGTGCTCGTGATTTTTTTTTCCATTAACTTTGAAACAATGAATTCTTATGTGTAATTTTTCTGATTGGAATATACATATCTCTAATTTGTTCACTTTAAAACATCTCAATTGAAAATGTGAATCATAGCAAGGTTGTGTTCCACAGCTGTAATGATCACGCCTCCAGCACCTCCTCCAACACATGCACGCCATGTTCACAAGCATTTATAAATTATACATCTCTAGCAGTCTCGCAGCCATATCCAATTCTATCCTAATCTATGTAACACAGTGAAAAACCACACAAGGCATTAACCCATTGAGCCACAGGAAGAAGGGGAGAATAATGAATTTTCACTTTGACAATTCTTTCACAACTTAGCACTTGAGATTAATTGCACGTTTTTGAGAATTTACATTTAACCGAGCATTTAAATGTACAGAATCATCTCAGCAAGATGGCCAAGATCACCTAGCTGGGAACGATCTGGTGGAACATTTTCAAAGTATCTCATATCAGCCAGAGAAGGAAAACTCAATCCTGAAGATACAAACCCCTCACCAACCCTGGTAACTTGTGAAGCCATTCTGACTGGAATCCAGTGGGGAGGCTAAAACCAGGTGTCTGGTTATCTCAAGCCAAACAAAAACAACAAGAACTTCTGGGACTCAAGGAATACAGTGGGGATTTTGCCAACTCTAACCAAAGAAAATTACTTGCTTTTACAAAATTTACTATAGCAAGTTAAATCACTAAATAAATGAAGAAAAAAATTTCACACTGCAACTAGCTGGTCAAATTTGAAGTTCTGCAACATAAGCCAAGGATACCATCCCACAAACATCAATACGTCCTAACTTTAATGGTACAGCTGATTTGAAGGAAATGAAGTGAAAGCACCAGATTGTGATTATTCAATGAAATGTATATTGGCCTTTCATGAATCTAATGTTCATATCAATGATTAGTTGAGCAAATCCAAATATTATATATGGATGGAAGTTTGTCTAATATATCCCACAGTGAAGTGTAGCTCTTCATAAAAATTCTAAAATATGGTTAATCTACTAAAGCTGAAAAAAAAATTAAGTGGGTGGAACTAAAAAGGTTTTTCTGGTACCTGAAAGTAATTTGACCAAATCAGTTGTTAGCAGTATTAAAATAGTTTATGGTTCTTGAGTACTAAGTGGCTTGTTCAAAATATGCTATAGGTTACTGAGATAACAAAGAGAGAAGACTTACATTTATATCCTGCTTTCCATGACCACCAGGTATCTCAAAGCAGTTTACAATTAATTGAAAAATGTAATCATTACTGTGACATGGGAAAGGTGGTGGCTAATTCACATGCAGCAAAACACTCAAATTGCAAAAGGTCAAACAGATAATCTGTTTTGGTGATGTTAGTGGAGGGATAAGTATTGGCCAGGACACCGCAAATAACTTGCCTACTCTTCTTCGAAGTGTCATTGGATCTTTTACACCCACCTGAGCAGGCAGGCAGGGTCTCAACATCTCACCTGAAACATGGTATGTCCGACACGCCATTATTTGGTTAATACAACACTGGAATGTCAGCCTTGTATCTGCACTCAATACATGGAGTAGGACTTGAACCCAAAACTGTCTAAGTCAGAGTCAAGAGCGCTACCAAATGAGGTATGGCGAACACATCTGAGGGGAAACACTGGGGGGGTGCATTCAGAACCTCCCCCTGGATACCATGGCCAGATTTAAAAACAACACTGCATTGCGGAACAAAAAAAAATCCCACTATTTACTTCAAATAAAACACCAAGCTCAAAGGAAATCTCAAAATTGTGTTTTGGATGCAACTGTTGTTAAGCAATTATTATTTCTTCAGCCACAGTTTAAAGCAGACCATTTGATTCTGTGATTTTACAGACTTTAAAATAAACATAACTTTTGTCAAAATATATTGAAGAAGTTTCAAGGCAACAAACTGCAAGTTACCAGTTTAGAATTGTTAGAAGTTTGCGACAGCATTTAGGATCACCACAAAAGGATACATGGGTTTTGCCAACCAATCAATCGAAAAATTTACACAAGCAGCTGAAAATCGTTAATCACTCCAGTACGGCATTGAAATATTACTAGATTCCACAAGCAAACACCAAGTATTAAAAATTTCTTTACCTCTTCGTCGCCCAAATGTCCTTGCTGCATGTAAAACAGAGAAAAAGTGGGTAGGCCTGTAACCTGCTGTTAAAAATTGCAAACTTCATATGATAGGCACACATGATTCAGGTGACATGAGTCAGTTCATTGTCAAAATTGCATCCAGATTCCACACTAAGTTTTAGAAGTGTTCTGTTATCATGCAGAAAAAAATATTTATAAAACTTAATTTTGTCCTCTTCCCGCATTCACCAGCCCCACCCCCACCAAATTAGTTTTGAAAATCTTTTGCTCCCATCTCTTCCTTGATGATGTTTATTGTGAAAGGCAATCAATACAGTTTGACTGCACAATGCTCCCAACAGTGCAATGGGTGAATTGGACTTCCAATTTCTCCTAACAACTTTTATTTGTTCTTCTCCTAGACATTTGAGTCTCATATAGGCAAAGTAAATAAAATTGGGAAAGCATAACAGGAAAAAAAACAAACAATCCCCACATACAATGTGTGACTTGAGTGCCATGAACGATATATCACAAAGCTGATTTTTTTTTTTGTAAGGAGGACAATTTGCCTGGCTTCCATTACAGAATAAAGGAACATGAACACTTCTTCATTTGTGGTACTTCAGGATGATCTAACCACCACAGAACTGAGCACATCATTTTAAAAAATGCAATTAGTTTTATTATCAAGAGTATACCATAGATAGGCCCTTGCCAAAAGTGAGTATGTTGAAGGTTAGCCCCTATACTTCAAATAATGCAATCACAATTGCTTCTGATTGTTCACTTGCAGACTGGCAAGGCAGGTAACTTTAGAAAGTGAGTGATCACGTTATCTAATATGAAATTAACCACATTACTGTCATTAGAAACTACAAGAAGAAACATATTCCAGAATAATTTGTACTCTGAAAATCAAATACAATGAGTACTTGCAAAGAGCTAAATGCAACACTCTTCAGCTCAGTGAAGTTGCTATTCTTAAAATAACAATGTAGAAGTAGTTTTTATTTTGTGAATACTGTTGACAAAGTATTAATGCAATTGTAAAGTTTCACCTATTAGAAAAAACCTTGACTGAAGGAACAGTAAAAGTTCATCAGCGAAACAGATGAGCAATTTACTAAATGAGAGCCACGCAACACACGATTTCGCTTGAATTCAAGTGTGATCCATCACAATAAAAGTAATTAGTTAATAAACATAAGCCTCAAGTAAAGAAATATCAACCAAAAGGTATTTTGATTATTTCAAATCACCAAACTTGCAGTATTTTACAAGTAAACTTGCATATTTTGAAGCATTTGAAATGGAATTATTCTAAGATTAAGTTAAACGAAACAAGTAGCAGTGTTCTATGGACACAGTTAATGTGTATTACCACAAAACTGATTTTCCGCTGTTGGTTTCTGCATTGCTACAAAATTAGATTTCCTGTTCGTTAGGTTGAATTCCATTGGGCTATGAACTCAAGTTGTGATTGACTTCCCACACTGGATATCGAAACAGAATTGTTTCTCACCAAGAAATTGTATTTTTCAGTTTTGAAAAGCTACTATAATAAATGAATATGAAAATTAGAGCAACTGAGACCAATTATTTTGAGGTCAACGTAAAAGGCGAGTACTGCAACTCAAAAACAATTTGATTTCAATCCAAGGATTTCCAGCAATTTGAGTGGATCAATTTTTTCTATGCAGCATTAATTGATGGAGATGCATGCAGCATAATTGAAGCAGGTCACAAACATCGCAGAAAAGGAAGTTTAAAAAAAAAGCTTTTTCTAACTTCATTTGAGAAGGCTGAATACATACTGCCATAACTACCCTTGTTCTATGCTCACTATTCCATTATACATTACTCATTCACTTCAGTTTGTAAAAGACTGGGTACTGGCAAGCAAACAATTTTTATTTTAAAAACCACATGCAAGACTAGCAAAAAAAAAATGCACCAAGATGGTATTTTGATAACCACTTCATCACCGTGCCGATGCAGGGCAAGGCAAAGGCTGCAAGTCCTTGAAGAAATACCAGCTAGAAAGCAGAAGTGGGACGGTCTCTGATTGAAGAGGCATCTTGTGACAATCTAAAGATTCTGGGAGACTTAGTCTGAGGCTGAGGGAAGAAATTGTTTTGTTGCTGTGAGCCTTGCTGCAGGTCGTCGGCTTGAAAATTCTGAAAATTGAATATCCAAAAAACTTTACTCAATCAATGAAGATGGGAGACATGGACCTATTGGAAACAGGATATGCTTTTGGATGTTTCTGATAACGGCTATAATTCCATGGAAAGCAAAATTATAACATATATGTGGTGTTAAACCATTATTAATGGTTGTCTCTTCTGTAGTTTAGATTATTAGTTGCATGTTTAGTGAGAGTTGTTTTTAGCTTCTAGCAAAACTTTTAAAAATGAGAAATCTTGTCACGTGATGCCTTTCAGTTGATCACTGGGAATTATATATGTTAAACACCAGGGTCAGTGAGGGAGGTGGGAATGGATAAAAGGGCTGCTGTGCATTGGATTGAGGGACCAGTTTGGATTATTTAGAGTTCAAGGAGATTTCAAAGAGCACTGGAGAGGCAAATACGGATTTGAACAGCAATAAGGAAGGATAAGAATGGAAAGAGGCACAATGGAAATAAACAGTTTTGGTACTTGACAGAAGGTCAGGTTTCATAAGCTGCTCAAAGTCAAAGAAACTCTCAAGTTTTATGGAGCTCGAGTCAGCTCCAGACAACAGCTTGAAAAAGGACAGACCAGGGATCTACAACCTTTAACTCAATAAGTGGTTCATGCAACTCCCAAACAAGACTGATCAAATATCCTCCCAACCTATCTGGGAAATTCAATAGAGCTCTAAAGAAATCTAACATCAGAAATCACATTAAAGTAAAATTAAATTTTTTTGCTTCCGTTTATGCAAACACTAACATGCTTATCTCCAGATTCTGCCATTTTCATCCCAATTATCAGCATTTTAGTAACAGCATTACAGCTTTCAAGATATTGCCTTTCAGCCAAGTTTTAAAAATGATTCTGCAGCCAACCCTTAGGAAAGTCCAACGGCATGAAAGCAGTTATTTCTGGTAAGAGATGAAAACAATGGCTTCAGTGTTCCCCATGTTAAAGTTTTCCAAACGTTGATTCATCTTCAAGATATCAGACAGCAGCATGTCAACATGAAATTGAAGTTGAAGTTGTCGAGTCAGGTGTTGGCAGCATCCATGAGAGAGCTTGCTATATAATGAATGACGGAAGCAAAGTGGCTTGTGTGGATAAGAAACACAGGAAATTGAAGCAGGAGTAGGCTGCTCAGCCCTTCAAGCCTGACCCACCATTCAATCTGATCATAGCTGATCGCCCAACTCAGTAACTTGTTCCCGTTTTCTCCCCATTATCCTTTGATCTCTTTAGCCCTAAGAACTATATCTAATTTTTTTCTTGAGAACATTCAACGTTTTAGTCTTAGCCACTTTCTGTTGCAGAGCATTCCAACGGCTCACCACTCCAAATGAAGAAACTTCTTAATCAGAGTCCTAAATGGCCTACCCCATATCCCTAGATTATGACCTCTAGTCTCCCCAATCATTGTGAACATCCTTCCCACATTTATCCTGTCCAGTCCTGTTTGAATTTTATAGCTTCCTAGGAGATATCCCCTCTCAACTTCCAGGGAATATAGTCCTAACCAATCCAGTCTTTCTTCACACATCAGATCTCCCATCCCAGGAATCAGTCCGGTAAACCTTTGTTCCATAGTCAGGACTTCCCTCCTCAGATAAGCAGACCAAAATTTGCACATACTACTCCAGGTGTGGTCTCCCCAAGATTCCATACAATTTCAGCAACTCATCCCTGCTCCTGTACTCGAGTCTTCTCACTATGAAGGCGAACATACAATTTGCCTTCTTCACTAACTGCTGCATCCACATAGTCACTTTCAGCAAGTGATAGGCTTGCATGTGCAGAAAGGATAAATTAACACAGTTGCAGTCAGAATATAATTTCTGGTAATGGCTAAGGTGGAACCTGGAATTCTGTGATTTGAGAAGAGGTAGGAAGTGGAAGTCCACATTTTTAATAAAACATTGTATATTGTACAATATATACAGTCTCTTTAATATAGGGTCAAATGGAGGAAACAATGGGAATATGACCTGTTCTGGATTCTGGTGATCACATCTCTGGGTGGCAAAAGTGGTGTAGTGATAATGTTACTGGACTCATAATCCAGAACCCCAGACTAATGTTTTAGGGACATGGGCTTGAATCTTATCATGGCAGATGGTAAAATTTGAATTCAATAAAAATCTAGAATAAAAGCTGGCCTAATGATAACTACGCAACCACAGCCGAGTGATATAAAAACCCATCTGGTTCACTAAGTCCTTTAGGGAAGGAAATTTGCCATTCTTACCTGGTCTGGCCTACAGGCAACCCCAGATTCCAGTTGACTCTTAAACACTCTCTGGACAATCAGGGACAAGTAATAATAGCCAGTGACGCCCACATCCCATGAATGAAAAAAAAAACCCATTCCCACAGCCACATGGAACACTTGTGATGGCCCAAACCAATTATCTCCTATTCTCAAATTTGTCCTTTGATCGGAAAATCTATGGATATTCTAAGATGTTCCACTGTTTACCATCTGCTTTTAACCCTACTTTGATATGGGGGAATTATATTCTTTTAATTCACTTGTGGGATGTGGACATTGCTGATTGAGCCAGCACTTGTTGCCCGTCCCTAGTTGCCCTTAAGGCAGTGGTGGTGAGCTGCCTTCTTGAATCACTGCAATCCAAGATTTTAACTCCCCACGAAGGAATGGCGATATATTTCCAAGTCAGCATGGTGAATGGCTTGAAGGGGAATTTGCAGGTGGTGGCATGGTGGATCAGTGGTTAGTAGTGCTGCCTCACAGTGCCAGGGATCAGAGTTCAATTCCAGTTTTAGGCAACTGTCTGTGTGGAGTTTGCACATTCTTCCAGTGCATGCGTGGGTTTCTACCAGATACTCCGGTTTCCTCCCACAGTCCAAAGATGTGCAGGTTAGGTGGATTAGCTGTGCTAA